GAAGTATTTGAAGGTAAAAATTATTTACTATTTTAGTGTAAATGGGTATTAAAATGAGTAAAAGACGCCATCCTGCTCGAATCAGTAATGTTTTATATAAACAATGCACGCGCCATTGAGCCAATGATTGACGCCGCGTGATATGACGTCATGTGATGTGTTGAAGGCAGTCATCTTTTACAGAAGACTTTCGTAATACTCTGTAAAACAGATTGGTTAATTTCCGGTAGCAAATTTAAAATACGAAACAATTTATTAATTTTCTAACTTGGCAACACCTTGTCTTAAGCAATTCAATGAAGATTTTAGGAACCTTGCAAAATTAAAAGGAAAATTCTTATTTTGCCTAACACGAGTGTTTGAGAGATAATAGCGAAGTGAAAAATGAAAACGACAATATTGTTTTAGAATTTTTAACATAGTTAGCGATCCAATAATATCTAAAGACAAACGCGTGATGAGAATATTTTTAACGTGTCTTTTTATACCATTTGATGTTGTGACAATACCATATAGTAAATATTTGCCCCGAGCACGTGCTCCGAGTGAGCCGGAGCCTGTTTCGTCATCATTCAGAAATTCATCTTTGGACAGTCAACACCTCTCCAGGTAAGACCAAATTTATTAGATGTTAAATTTGGCTGCGTGGGACACCCTATCAATATGACAATAATTGTAGGTTAAAATGTACAAAATGAGACGTTGAAGTAAGGGAGACTACTCCATTCATCAGGATGCAGAGCACCAACCCTTTAACGAATTTCTGATGGGATCACATTTACTAGTTTATTGGATACATAACTAACATTGTTAATCCTCATCTCATTACCCAGCTCCAAAATGTCCTTTGAGCTGGACCCCTTTCACTATAGAGTGACAAATAGCCAGTTGAGATGTACTCCTTTCATTATATATACAGAGTAACAAATGATTAGTTGGGACTGGACCCCTTTCACTACAGAGTAACAAACAATCTCGTTAAAACACACATCCTATTTCGTTTCGTTTTTATAGTTCAAAATTTCGTTTTGCCTGTCTTTACTATACGTGGATCTGGAAGAGTTGTTATTTAATTCGTGTTCTGAATGGTGTCAGGAATAAGCCAATGAAACTGTTTGTTACGGCGCGCTTAAGGCGTGTTTTTCACGAAACTGTGGGTAATCCACTAGTAACATCAATGCTGATTGGTTAATCAAATGTCTGACGTCAAAAGGGTCATAAGTCGGTCTTTTGACCTCTGACGTGACCTATCGCTATACCTTGTCAGACCTTCATGTAGTGTAGGCCATCGAAAGTAAAAAAAAAACGAAACGAAATATAGATCTGTATTTAGATCAGATTGGAGTAACAAATGGCCAGTTGAGTTGTACCCTTTTCACTATATAGAGAATAACAAATGGCCAACTAACTCGGTCCACACCGGGATCGATTCACATTTCCTTGTAAATTAGTGAGACCCTGCGAACATTATACGGACTTCATTCAAAATGAAGATCATTATAATGATTTATAAGAAATATGCAATAATGTGAACGGCCTTGACGAAAGGCATCTAACGAATAGCGTATAAAAAACAATAATCTAGCTGAACTCGTCGCCAAAGAAACAGACAATATGCAATTAGCAGTTAAAAAAAATTATGGCCATCCCAGATATAAACATATCCGACCATTTCCATAACAAAACATCTGGCATACAATTCCCAATATTGGACCAACTGTCATGAAGCCGTTCAAACATAATTTATCTAATTTCATGTAGACAATGTGACATACAATACGTAGGGGCGACCCAAAATGCACTTAGGGAACGATTTGACGGTCACCGGTCAGACATGAAATGAAATGGGGTTTAACGACCTACTGTTCTGCTCCGAACTGGGCTAATGAAGACGGGCGTACGCCATATGGTGTGCTATGAGGGACATTTTGTCCGGACAGTGGCACTACGGCCTACTCTTATATCGAATTCCAACTGTCAAGGGATCTTTTACGTGCACCTTAATGTGTACACGGGACCTCGGGTTTTCGTCCCATCTGAACGACTAGAAAGCTGTCCTTGTCAGGCCCTCCGTCCTGCATCACAGACAAGGGGGAACCACGCCGGAAAATCAAGATGAACTTTCTCGGACAATGCAGGGATCGAACACCCGACCTCCAGGCTAGCGAGCCAGCGTCTTACCCATTTAGCCACCGTGATCCCCCGGTCAGACATTGTCACCAAAAAAGGCAAACCGGTCTCAATTCACTTCAACCAACCAAATATGACATTTCTGATCGTTTTTGTCACACCAACAGAAAAGACTAAGAGCAACCTTGAAACTCCAGAAGAAATTAAATCGTTTAGTCTAACAAGAGAAAACTTCTGGAATGACATTGAAAACAACAGTCACACTAGGTTTGAATATTCACACGGCTAGCGCAATAGACCTTTTTGTAGTCCCATTAGAAAACACTGTACTGATCTCCAGGAAAATCACCCGAAAATCTTCACAGAAACTTATAATTGCATATTCTAAAAATAAAAATCTGAACGATATCCTAGTGCACAGTAAATTAGACTAAATAACACCAGTCCTCGTCGTAACACAAAGTAAACAATATATCAAACCCTAGCCCTAACCCTTAGTAAATAAAATCAACTAGAATACCTAGCCCTAACCCGAATATAGTGGAACAAACACATTTTTAGAAAATCCAATCCTTAGTACTAAACACACTAATGTGGCTCTTACCCGAGAGCCTCAAATTTATTCTTTTTTCTTCAGAAACAAAAATACCAGAATACCACAAGCGCGAACTAAGGAAGACCATCACCGCCACTGACACTAAAAAAAAGCGAAATCAACTTTGTATATAAATCTAATGCATTGTATGTATTTATTTTTTATAAAACTAGCAAATATCACGAACTAACTTTTCATCATCCTAGATCAGTGCTTATGTGGAGACTTAACCTCTCCCCTAAATAACCCTTTTTGAGCAGACTGAAATTGGGTCCAATTTACCCTTTACCCTTCTTAAAGGGGTTAGGGTTAGTATTACCCAAAATACTCATTTTATATAAAGCGGCCGACAATTAGCATTCACCAAATATGGAAATGTACAAAGATGGCGGCCGCATTTACATGTCGTAGGCCATGCTAGTCTCGGTCACCCAGAACCTCCAAGTCTTCAACCTATGGAGGGTCTGGGACCGTTGTCAGTCCATTGCCCATGCGTAACTGGGAGTTTGGTTTTTAATGTGGTTGATTATCCAGTAGCTTTGACCAACTAAGAGTTTAGCCCCTTCCCGCAATAAATCCGACAATTCTTGCATTAATATAAACATAAATAGAGAAATTTTACAATAAAACAAATTAAGAGTGTTGGATATTGAACTGCTAAGGCAGTCAAATGGATTTTTTGAAATGGCATTCTTAAATTAATTTCATGGGCGTCAACATCTTGTTTTAGGACTAGTTACTTACCTCCCTTAGACTTTGTCTATGATAATGTAAAAGACCGGATAATCTAGCCGATGACCTATTATTCTCAAATGTTGACAACGTATCCAGACTAATATTCGTAGAATACTTTTCTGGGTGATAGAGACTAAGACCATGCCAGTCTGTATATGCCAATTATACACACGATTGCGTAATGGGTGTTAAACGGATCTCTGCCATATCTTAATTATTTAATTGCTTAAACTAATTAGTACTGTGTAATTAGTGGTTATAGAATGAAACAAAAGTAGAGTGGACTTAGACTACACCAAATTTATTTTTCTGTTTTTCGTAGTCTTGAAAAATAAATAACCTACTGGAATCACCATAAAACATCAAATTTAGGACTGAAAGATTTTGAGAGAGAGAGAGAGAAATGGGGTTTAACGTCCACTCGACACAAACTAGGTCATTTCGGGACGAACACATGGTTTAATTTTATTTCAATAATTCGCTTGCGCGTAGGGGTCTTTAGCAGTGGGAGGACACCGGAGGACCCGGAGAAAACCCACGAAGTTGGACAGGCGACCCTACTCCTTGCCACGTACAACCGGGGATTCGAAACCACGCCAGTTAACTCAATGACAGACTTTATGGTACAGCGCGCACGTGCTAACCATTCAGCACCCCCCCCCCCCCCCTGAAAGATTTTGAACAGACAGTACAACCATATAGACCTCACCAATCGGATTATCTGTTGTTATAAATCTTGTACCTGACTAGGAGTAGGGTCGCATATCCAACATCGGGGGTTTTCTCCTCGGGGGTTTTCTCCGGGTCCTTCAGTCGCCCCCCCCCACCCACTGCTAAAGACTAGTACGCAAATTATTGAATTAAAGTTTAACCATATGTTAGTCCCGATATGACCTAGTTTGTGTGGGGTGGAGGTTAAACCAATCTCCCTCGTATGCTTTAAATCATATTATAAACCTATAATGGTAAATCTCTTTGGGGTAAATCTCTTTGATCTTTGGGGTATATTCTATGCCCGGAATTACATTGCGGTCTGAAAGTTTTCCTTTAAACCTGTAACAGGTTATTCTTCCAGGGTAGTTTTTTCCATTTTTTCCATAATTAAACATGATATAAGATTTTCTTGTGGGAATACTGCGATATTCTCGTTTTGCGTACATGTAAACATAGACGGTTTATAAGGACGATAAAGTCCTCGACTTCGGTTATGCTGGGGAAGAAAGATTTCAGAAAAAAAATCTCGGGTTACTTTCTTGGGTTAATTTCCCCTCATAGCACACTGCATGGCGTTTGTCCATCTTCATTAACCCAGTAGGAGCAGAACAGCAGGACATTAAACTCCATTTCATTTCATTTGTAAGAAAGTTGTAGAATCTTGCAAGGGTGTCCTGCAATTTGAAGTCTTGACGTGATTCAGGTAGTTATGTATTTAAACCCGTCTTCATTAGCCCAGTATAGGAGCAGAACAGTAGGACGTTAAACCCCATTTCATTTCATTTCACGTATTTAAACAGACCGCGCAGAGCAGAAAATCAAATTACTGTAGCCTAAACAGAGTAAAAACAAAACTTGACCCGAGTAACAAATTGATGGAGGCGGACAGAAGATAGTGTAGTCTCCACCAAACAGACTTTTAAGTTTTTTAAATTTTTGATAATTACCACTAGTCGTCAAAAAGGTAAGGGGATTTTAAATTCCTAATAATTACTTCTTGGGCAATAATTACGAAAACTTTAATTAATTAATTTTAAGGAGGCAGAAATTTCATCGGTTGAGAATAAAACTCCTAGAACAAATTGAATCTCTCGATCAATCAATGAGTTGCCTTCTTAAAGTGGTTTAGTTTATGTTTTTGTGAATACGCACCCTGGTATTTAATTTGTCTCTTTTTTTAAGGAACAGGATCGCCGGTGCAAATTCGTGGGTTTCTCCGAGTCCTCTGGTTTCCTTCTCTGGTTTCCTCTATCAAAATGGGTGTAATTAGTAGCAACAATAATACATTTGGGGGTGGGGGTGGGAGTCCGAATGGTTAGCACGTGTGCGTTGTATCATAAGGTCTGTCATTGAGTCAACTGGCGTGGTTTTAATTTTCCGGTTGTACGTGACAAGGAGTAGGGTCGCCTGTCCAACTTTGCGGGTTTTCTCCATGTCCCCCGGTTTCCTCCCACTGCTAGACTCCTACGCGCAAGCGAATTAATTAAATAAAATTAAACCATATGTTAGTCCCGAAGTGACCTAGTTTGTTTCGAGTGGACGTTAAAACCCATCTCTCTCTCTCTCTCTCTCTCTCTCTCATCGGATGGATGATTTAGTTTGTGTCTTGCATATCTTTGATAAACGTTAAAATGGAAAATCGAAACTGCAATGAAATGGGTTTAACGCCCTACTGTTCTGCTCCTACCGGGCTAATGAACATGGGTATACACCACACAGTGTGCTATGTGGGAAATTGTGCCCGGAAAGCAGCACTATGGTCTACTCTTATATCTGCATTTTTTAGTACCGTAGCAATGGTGCTTCGTTCAAAAAAAGTCGATATGACGCAGCCTAGAGGTCGTGTGTTCGATACCTGCATTGGCCGAGAAAGTTCATCGGAATTTTCCGACGTGGTTTCCCCTTGTCAGTGGTGCAGGACGGAGGGCCTGACAAGAACAGCTGACCAGTCGCTCGGATTGTACGGAAAAACCGAGGTCCCGTGTATACATTGGTGTGCACATAAAATTCGATATAAGAGTAGGCCATAGTGCCGCTGCCCGGGCAAAATGTCCCCCATAACAGACTGTATGGCGCATGCCCGTCTTCTTTAGCCCAGTCGGAGCAGCAACAGTAGGACGTTAAACCCTATTTCATTTCGTTTCATTTCGTTCAGAATAAAGCAATTTGACCGAAATATTCAATATATTCAATGTCTACATAATCTTACATATTGCATATTTATCTTTATTTCAGCTGACAACGGAAATGCTTATTCTGGTGATAGCTGCATGTGCGGTTGTAAAATCGGCACAGATTCCAGCCAGAGGGGGAACCATTGGTGGATACACAGCCCCAACATCGTATACACCATCCTATTCCTATTCCGCACCAGCACAGTCTGTATCCTACTCAGCTTCTGTCCAGACTTATGCATCCCTCGGACCCTCATATTCAGCACCAGCACAAACTGTTTCCTATTCAGCACCTGCCCCCTCTTATGATTCATCCGTATCATCTTATTCCTATCCGGCGCCATCACAAACCTTATCCTACTCAACATCTTATGCTTCATCCGGACCATCTCATTCTTATCCTACTCCAGCACAAACCGTATCCTACTCAACTCCTACCCAGTCATATGCTTCATCCGCACCATCCTATTCAGTACCTGTCCAATCTTATGATTCATTCGTATCATCTTATTCCTATCCGACGCCATCACAAACCTTATCCTACTCAACACCTTATGCTTCATCCCGACCATCTCATTCTTATCCTACTCCAGCACAAACTGTATCCTACTCAACAACAGCCCACTCTTATGCTTCACAAGCAACATCCTATTTAGCACCTGAAAAGTCTTATGATTCCTTCCTAATACCCCATTCCTATCCGGCACGAGTACAAACCGTATCCTACACAACACGAACTATTTCCAACCCATCACCCAGGGTTTCGTATTCAGCACCAACTGTCAGCTATCCGAGCTATAGTGCAGGGGCGTCTTATTCGGCGCAGGGTATTTCATATCCAGCAGCACCAGCAGTGTCCTATTCCGCCACGGCATCAGCAGTGTCGTATGCTGCTGCCGCTCCCAATATAGCAGCTCCCGCTAAGGAACAACAAACGACGCAAGACAAGATGAGGATGCACCCTCCAATTATGCCACCCCCTTTGATGATGCCCCCACCACCTGGATATTTTGGAGCAAGCGGAGAATCTGGATATTTTGGCGGAATATGTACAGAAGCGATATGTACAGTAGCTCTCGCTATAGCATCGCTCGCTATGAAACCACAAATGATGCAAGACAAGATGAGGATGCAGCCTCCAATGATGCCACCCCCTATGATGATGCCCCCACCACCTGGATATTTTGAGGGAGGGGGAGAACCTGGATATTTTGTCGGAGTTGGAGGGCCTGAATATTTTGGAGGAGGAGGTGTTGGATATTATGGAGGAGTGGTTGGTAGCTATTATGAAACAGGAGGAGGGGAAGGGGTGGCTACCAAGGTGGAGAAGGAGGCGACCACCATAGCGGACACAACTACAGTTAAATCAAGCGAATGACATACCCGTGGAAATAAATGTGTTATTGTTTTTCCTTACAAATATGTTGTCTTCAGTCAATCAATATGTGACCCATCACATCGAAATGGGTAGTAGATCTAAATGCGCTTTAAAGTTTAAATGTGGATTGTTTTTTGGTTTATTTTCGTCAAATAGATGTGTCTTCAAACGTGACTTTCAGATGTCTGGATATGTAAATTGTGGTCGACATTCGGATTTTCACAAGTAATGCCTCATAAATGTCTTATTTCTATATTCCAAGAATGGATTTGATGTAAATATAATCCTGAAGATGTTTGTAAGCACGATTTGTGAACCATACCTACTGGTTTTGAATTTATCTCCAATTGGCCTGAAATGGAGCCGAGAACCCAAGGAATGTGATAACGCGCATAAATCAATATGGTCAAATTGCTACGCACTACTCATTTTGGGGGATCACGTGGCTAAGTGGGTAAGACGCTGGCTCGCTAGCCTGGAGGTCGGGTGTTCGATCCCTGCATTGGCCGAGAAAGTTCATCCAGATTTTCCTGCGTGGTTCCCCCTTGTCAGTGATGCAGGACAGAGGGCCTGACAAGGACAGCTGTCTAGTCCTTCGGATGAGACGAAAAACCGAGGTCCCGTGTATATATTGGAATGCACGTAAAAGATCCATTGGCAGTTGGAATTCGATATAAGAGTAGGCGATAGTGCCGCTGCCCGGGCAAAATTCCCCTCATAGCACACTGTATGGCGTATGCCCGTCTTCATTAGCCCAGCATAGGAGCAGAACAGTAGGACGTTAAACACGTTAAACCCCATTTCATTTCATTTCATTTCTACTCATTTTGATGTGATTGGTCACATATTAACTATTGTAGTGGGATGCTTTGTAGATTATTCAAGGTATGTTAGCTGTCATGGGTGCAATCCCACGTGCATGAGCGGCAAGTCGTAAGGTTATCAACGCACAAATAATACCATATTAGTGGTTGACCGGACATGGCACGGATAGAGACTTTAACAGGGTTGGTGGCTACACTCCAAACATACATAATATATATTGATGACAGTGATGTGTGTTGTGCATGCGGCAGAGAGTGCTTACTATTTTTTGAACATCCGATAGCCATATTATACTTTTGTGGTGGGCATTACTGCTGTCTATTAAGCGACGGGGCGGGGGGGGGGGGGGGTGGCGAATGGTTAGCGCGTGCGCGTTGTATCACAACCTCGGGCGTGGTTTCGATTCTCCGGTTGTACGTGGCAATGAGTAGGGTCGTCTGTCCAACCTCATGGGTTTTTTCCAGGTCCTCCGGTTTCCTCCCACTGTTAAAGACCCCTATGCGCAAGTGAATTATTGAAATAAAATTGAACCATTTGTTAGTCCCGAAATGACCTAGTTTGTGTCGAGTGGATGTTAAACTCACTCTCTTTGGTCGAGAGTAAAACTCGTAGCACAAATCGAATCTCTCGGTCAATGAATGGAGTGCCTTCTTAAAGTAGTTAAGTTTATGTCCTTGTGAGTACGGACCCTGCTATTTAATTTGGCTTTTTATTTTAGGAGTAGGATCACCTGTCCAACCTCGTGGGCTTCTCCGGTTCCTTCGGTTTCCTCGCACAGCTAATTATTGGAATAAAACTGAACCATACTAGCATGTGTGTCCAGTGTGTCATACTAGTGTGTGTGTGTCAAGTTGACATTACTCTCTCTCTCTCTCTCGCTCTCTATTAAGCGACAAGTAAAGCTCATTGTTATCTGCAAGACATTCTGTACTGATTATAAAATGTTCATCGTGTCTTAAACACTGGATATTAAAGGCGCAATACCACTCTTGTTGTAACTGAATAATATGTCCCAATCTTTATTCTGGTCAACAAATTGTACTATTTTACAATATTCCAATTAATTGATGATACAAATTTCATCTTAACACACCTAATTTAAAAAATTGGAAAAATTCAACTAAATGATTTGAAAAGCCTGACGTAAAGCTTTCCAAATGTGACTTGGATTTTAAAAATATTTTTGAACCCTCTGGACAAGTAAAATAGGATTTAATGGACAATTCACACAACAGGTAGGACACTAACACATCTAGTACTTAGAATAAGGCTATTTTTTTATTTTCTGGAGCTGTCAAGCGAGCAAGAGTGTTATTGTCCCTTTAAGATCCCGATAACAACATCAATAGAACTAAAATGAACCAATATTGAATTCAGATTTGTGTTTTCAATTTTTAAAGTTAGCTCCTTAATCAACTCAGATAAAATCTAAAACAATTTCGAAGGTTAGTTCGTTAATCAATTCGGGTAAAATGTAGAAACAATTTCGGGTGGAAATATACACTGTGATCTGTGAATCAGGGGAGACCACTCCACCCATCCGGTGGAAGCAGACCACTATTAATTACCACGTTAACTTAAATCTTGATACCAGAAATGAAATGAAATGAAATGGGGTTTAACTTCCTACGGTTCTGCTCCTATGCTGGGCTAATGAAGACGGGCATACGCCATACAGTGTGCTATGAAGGAAATTTTGCCCGGGCAGCAGCACTATCGCCTACTCTTATATCGAATTCCAACTGCCAAGGGATCTTTTCGTGCATTCCAATGTATACATAGGACCTCGGTTTTTCGTCTCATTCGAAGGACTAGACAGCTGCCCTTGTCAGGCCCTCCGTCTTGCATCACTGACAAGGGGGAACTACGCCGGGAAATCTGGATGAACTTTCTCGGCCAATGCTCTTGATACCAGAGGTGACGATGAAGATGACGACGACGACTAGACGACGATAGAATAATTACCAAACGCATTATACATATAATTTATTAAATAACTCTGAAGCGTTTATTAACAATTTTAAAACAATACAAACTTAACAATTCGATTCTGTGTACAAAATTACATAAATCGTTAAAATAAACAATTACCGACATAAATATCTCGATTCTTTAAAATATACAATTACCGACATAAATATCTCGATTCTATAAAATATACAATTACCGACATAAATATCTCAATTCGATAAAATATACAATTACCGACATAAATATCTCAATTCGATAAAATATACAATTACCGACATAAATATCTCGATTCTTTAAAATATACAATTACCGACATAAATATCTCGATTCTATAAAATGTACAATTACCGACATAAATATCTCAATTCGATAAAATATACAATTACCGACATAAATATCTCGTTTCTATTAAAATATACAATTACCGACATAAATATCTCAATTCGATAAAATATGCAATTACTGACATAAATATCGCGATTCTATGAAATATACAATTACCGACATAAATATCTCGATTCTATAAAATATACAATTACCGACATAAATATCTTGATTCTATAAAATATACAATTACCGACATAAATATCTTGATTCTATACAATATAAAATTACCGGTTCATCTCAATAACCCTGCTTCACTTGTTAAAGATACATTATGGGAGATTAGATAAAGAGCTGGCAGTTCTCACTATAATAGTTAAAAACTAGATAGTGTAAAGGGAATTTGCTGAAAATTTCGGTCAAATTGATCCACTGTGAACCGAGATTTTCGGCCTAGCCTCGATCATCATTACTAAAGTTGGTACGATAAAAACACAGTCTCGATTATCCATTTCATGATTAAATCATGAATGAAAGTGGAGCAGCAAATCGGTTCCTAATCCAGTAAATATCGCAGGCTAACGATGACATCGAGAGTTGATTATGGTCTGGATAAGTTAATTAATGTCTAATTAATAATTTATATAACATTTCAGGACTAAAGAAAGACCTGGAATAAGCAGATTGAGCTCTTGCATAATGTATGTTTAACTTGGTGACACAATGGGAAGATGGTCGTCCTAGTCATACAGATTTAATAGGTGCTAACTGGATAGGCTGTTTTCCTAACTATTTTATTAAATAAAACGAAAGTGTTACCGTCATTCATACGTTTTTTCATAGAAAAATAAACTTAGTTGGTACAACAGCCATCCGTGTGCTTCGGCTTCCTGACCGGGTACTAATGAAGCAAGTTTTAACAAGGGTATATGTTACCTGGAATGTTTTAAGATTTAAAAAAAAATAACCTCCACTCTAACGCTGACATCGTTGATTAAGCAACAAATAACAGTTATAAATGAAAATATACGACACTAATAGATCATATCGTCAGTTTATATACATGACGTGTATTAGTTAAAATTGTTAGTAATCAGGCAGTAATCATTAGGTAGGTGTTTTGTCACTAAGGTGTTACAGATGTGACTATTGAATGATATACACCACTATTGTGTATTCAATAATGATGGGTATTAGAAATAGTCACACTTTTACACCAGTAGTGACATCTTTTACAGCTAGTTACACACCTGCTAATTAATGACAACTGTATTATTTCTTACTACTTTCTATACATACTAAACATTAGTTTAGAATACTGACAACTTATATTATTTAATGATCACAAAACTTGTCATTACTAAAAGGCCTAGCTTCATTAGTCAACGGTATCAGCTTAGCAGTACTAGCAATCGCACGATGAATGAAATGTATTTTTTTTACATAATTTAAAGACAAAGGCACTACAGGAAATACATTCCCTGATCGGACGTAAATTGAGAAAAAAAACCAACAACATCGCCTGTTGCAAGGAGGTCTACAAACCAACTGTCCACCAGAACAGAAGAGACGACCTTGAACCCGCATGGTTCAAGCACCACGGGTAACATCCTCGATATCCCCAGTGGTTTCGTTCCGCTCTACTCCACTAACCCCTGGGTGCATTCACGGGGTATTCTCGAATTTAAATTACCTGCCCTTGATGATTTAATTGGCCATATCGCACCAGTCTTAGCATCATTGTATATGTTAACCACAATACAGCAGCTTGTACGTTCGATTGTGAGAAACTTTGCAAGGCATTGAAAATCAAAGACGTGACAAGCAGACAAAAAGATATATTTTGACAAAGTATACTACAAGGATTCGGCCACCTTTGTTTCAATAAAATGCGAGTTACTTCCCTTCGTCCACTCGCTTTATATTTATGGAACTTTTGATTGGTCGATAAAAATACATGTAGCACAATTAGCGGATAATGTGACTGGGTGTCTCCCCCGTGAATGGACTCATGGTTTAGTGGAGTAAAAGGGAAAATGAAATGAAATGAAATGGGGTTTAACATCCTACTGAAAAAGTCAACCGAACGATACAGCTGATGATACCCAAAATGCGCGGGTAAAAACTGTGGTAAAATAAAGCCGAGGTTTAATACGGAACGTTTCAATGTTACGATCTTTTATCAAGAATTAAAATCCTGTTAATTCTATCAAGGTATGTTGTACTTTGGGGGGTTGGATGGCGGAATGGTTAGCACGTGTGCGCTATATCATAGGGTATGTCATTGAGTCAACCGGCGTGGTTTCGATTCCCCGGATTTACGTGACAAGGAGCAGTGTCGCCTGCCCTACCTCGTGGGTTTTCTCCGGGTCTTCCAGTTTCTTTCCACTGCTAAAGACCCCTATGCGCAAGTGAATTATTGAAATAAAATTCAACTATGTGTTAGTCCCGAAATGACCTAGTTTGTGTCGAGTGGACGATAAACCCCATTTCTCTCTCTCTTTCCCTTCTCCACAACAAATGATACTCGAGTGTCCGATTCTAATATCAAACTATGGGAGAAACCTTTGCATTGCCGACAACTTGCATACCGTTAGGCTTGGGTAAATTACTTAGACCACGGTTGTCATTGGTAACGGTACGAAGCGTCGAGGTCGCTGCCGCCACGTGCTGTTTCTCAACAGACACCAGATATAAGGCGTATAATTTCGGTACAAACAAAAAGAAAATGGTGACAATAGAATTGGCTAGCATGGCGAGCGAGAGAAACATAGCCCGATACGTTGTTTTAGTCGTGGTGAAGTAAGTCGGTATGAAGGCTATCCACAGAACAATGGTCGTATAAACACAGAAACTAATGAATTTGGATTCATTAAAATTATCGGGTAGTTTTCTCGTCTTGACGGCGTGGAATGTACACATCAACACCAGCATCAGGTTGTACACTAAAGAACACAAGAAGCCAACTTCCGGTATCTTGCACGTGATCTCGACGTAAGGCTCCGCGAGACTAGGCATCTGTGTGACGGCTATAGGTGAATGTATGATGGTGGATACTGTTAGTATGACAATCTGAAATAATAAAACATACAAATATTATCTTTTTTAAAAATGAAATGAAATGAAATGGGGTTTAACGTCCTATTGTTCTGCTCCTATACTAGGCTAATGAAGACGGTATTTTTTTTAAAAACAAGCCATATAATCCTAGATTCCAACTATATTGAGATGCGTTACAATAGGATTGGGGTGGGGGGGCGAATGGTTAGCGCTTGCACGTTGGATCATAAGGTCTGTCTAAACCTTTGTTTATATAATATGTGTAACTTAGCAGAACTGTAAATACTAAATTGGGAATTTTTTTATCTTCCGTATCAATACCAAATAAACATGACATCAAGAGAGAAAGAGTTTAACGTCCTCTCGACACAAACTAGGTCATTTCGGGACTAACATATGGTTTAAATTTATTTCAATAATTCGCTTGCGCGTAGGGTCTTTAGCAGTGGGAGGAAACCGGAGGACCCGGAGAAAACCCGTGGGGTTGGACAGGCTACCCTACCCCATGTCACGTACAACCGGGGATTCGAAACCACGCCAGTTGACTTAATGACAGGTCTTATGACCATTCAGCCATCCAACCTCCCCGGATATATATATATATAATTCAAGTACTTGTCACAATAGAAATAAACTGACACGACCTATTGTTGACTCGTTATACCAGACAGTTCGTGATCAGGGTCCCGTTTATCGTTTGTACATTGATTTGTATATACATGTATTCCCGATACAGGGATCGAACACCCGACCTCCAGGCTAGCGAGCCAGCGCCTTACCCACTTAGCCACGTGATCCCCGAAATGGGGCTTAAAGAAATCTGATTAAAATACAGATCTATATATCGTTTCGTTTGTTTTTTTTTGGGGAGGGGGGGTACTTTTGATGACCTACACTAAATGAACATCTGACCGGTTGTACTGGAAGGTGGCGTCAGGGGTCGTACGAGCAAATTTTGACGTCAGACATTGATTAATCAATCAGCGTTGACGTTTCTAGTGGTTTATCTACAGTTCCGTGCACAACACGCCAAGAACTAGCCGTAACAGACCGTTTCATCGTTAAGGTTTAACAAAAACGAATTTTCAACAAAGCTTTTAAATTAATTACACAATTACACAGCTATATAGATTTATAATAAGCAAAAAAACAACCTATTGTTCCCCATTCTCTGTTTGTGGCAGAAAAACGGAAATGCATTGGCCAAAACAATGGACGGCTCCTACGCCTATGACTTCAAAAAATTTCCGATTGCCCGACTGGCCATGCGCTGTTGTGCGTGGGATGTTTCCGGTTGAGACCCTGTATCCGTTGTTTGCTAGATTTCAAATTATAGAGCTGTTCTCACTCGCCAACATTATGTCTGGGAATGGATTTTCGAGACTACGGCAATAGAAGCAAGCCCACGTGGTTGACTGACTAGACCAGAGATTCTCAACCAGTGTGCCGCGGCACACAGGTGTGCCGCTAAATCTTCCTAAGTGTGCCGCGAAATTCGGAACGTCACACAAAGAAAATTTCTCACTAAGGAACCTAGCTATTTGACTGATGAAATTCGAAACACTGCAATAAAGTAAGCTCATAGCCATGTTTTTCTTTATTTAGTTCGAGTCATTCTATGTGTCTATGACTAGTCTGTGCCTACAGTTGTATGCCGTCTATGACTTGACATGTTTTTATTTTGCAAAATTCAAATATTTTTCATATATATTTAGCCAGGTGTTGCCGCTATATTTTCATGTGTTCCAAGGTGTGCCGTTGGCAAAAAAAAAAGGCTGAGAACCACTGGACTAGACTGTGATATTTTTTCTGATTAAAAGTAATACTATGAATTAATAAATAGACGTTGATGGGCATTTTCTGATTGTAGGTTGTGACATACAGGTTATAGAATATAGAGCATCGATAGCAAATAAAACTAGAAATTGACGAAAAGTAGTCTACCATACATTCATTTTCCGAAAATGGCGAAAATCTGCCGTTAGCAAGTTCCACCTGAAAATTTGCGAAATTCGATAAGACTTTGTCCATGTCCGACCAGTTATTGCCAGCTAATGTGGCGTCACACCTAGAACTATACTGCACGTGAACCTAAAGGTCAGTCAGTGTGTACAGAGTTAAAATAAGGCTTTCGCATTACCTCTCTGAAACTGTCCTTCCATGTATTTCCTGGTTCAAATGAACGCAAATTAACATAAACCATATAGGCAAAATGGCTAAATCTGTTTAAAATACAGATCTATATTTCGTTTCGTTTTTTTATACTTTCGATGGCCTCTACTACATGTAGATCTGACCAGTAAGTTGTAGCGCAAGATCAGTATGACGTCCGATTTTTGATTAACCAATCAGCGTTGATGTTTCTACTGAGATACCCACAGTTCCGTGAACAACACGCCAAGAACTCCCCGCAACAGACTGTTTCATTGGCTAATCCCTGTGTAGCAAAGACAAGTAAAACGAAATTTTGAACTATAAAAAAACAAACAAACGAAATAGGATCTGTGTTTTAAGCTAGATTGCCATATAGCTGATATTGGGATTAATAATTTAGGTTGTTAAACAACTCACCTGTATTAAGATGGTTACAACTGCAAAAATAATTTGATATTTCGAATCGATGAATGGTGGTCGTTTTTTGGACTTCTTGCCTGACGTAAAAATTCTGTAAATTCTGTTCGTCTTGACCAACAGCGGACCATAAGAGAAGGTAAAACTCATGTGAAATCCAAAATCCGTTATAGTACAAATGACGTCAGTCGGGCTCACGAGAAAAAACGTCACAATGATACTAGAGATGAAAACGCCACCTAGGATCAGGTACGATAACTCACGACTACTCGCTTTAATAAGTTTCTCTTTATTGTTAAGGACGTAGAGCACAGTGGTTACTATGGTCATTAGAATGGTGAATATATCAAAGGCAACAATTAGAACCCCAGTAAAATCATTTACAGACACAATAGTCGGGGGAATTAGTTCACATCGAGTTTTGTCTTCGGCGTTCGGCCACGTGAAGTTACCCGCTTTTGGGCAGATTTCGCATTTTGCCAGCCCCTCTCTCATCACAGTTCTTTCGTTGTCTCGGCATTTTTGGCAGTACCAGCAACAATGGGGCTGGGTAACTACAGCTTGGTAGCCCATATCACATGGGTCGCTACAAGTTGATACTGGGCTTTTAAAATCTGCGGTGTTCCATCTGATGTCGGTCGGACGGAACTCGGTAAAAATTTTCTTGCGGCTATCCCAATGTCCAACGGATTGTAACGAATACGTGTTGTTTACAAACTGGACATTTTGTAGTTCGTAAGTCGCTACACCGTCTCCAAATTCATCGAAACCAACCTCTCCGTGTGCACCTTGGAACGTGATGTTACGTAAGGTCTTCACCATGGTGTCACCGTCAATGCAATTCTGTGGTGACGTCATAGCTTCTTTACAGGTAGAGAGTATGTTGTGTAAGGCACGTGCGTATGCGTACACGGCGTCCATCACCAAGGATACTGTTATTTCCGGTTTATATCCAGGAACAAAATTCATGGAATTGTTACATTTCGAGTCTGCAGCTGAATCATTGAAACTACACTTGAAATGAGCGGATATATAGTCTTTTATCCAAGGGTTTTGAGAGGCGTTGGCGGCCGTCAAATACTTAAAATGGTTGTCAAATCTTTCAATAACCGGGGAATAGAATTTAATCGTCAGCGCACCGAGTGCGGCATTTTCTACGCCATTATAATCCTGTATATTTCGACCCCAAGCGTCACTTCCGATCCACGTGAAGTTTCCCGTAGCGTGATTCCGTTCCGCCGATTTCAGGAGTTCTCTAGCTTGTGACAACGGCGAGAACACGACCACGACCTTGGCTCGTCTGGTGTCTAAAAGTTCTTTAATGATATGATCGTAGTCCTCGTCCGTAAATGATTGTCGCATCTCCCTGGTGACAGCTAAGCATGAGCCACTCTCCTCAACCCTTGTCTTTACAGCTTGGAACCCCATTGTCCCATAACTCCCTTCGGCATAGACCACAGAAATATAAGTCCATTGAAAACGATTGAGTATATCCACAATAGCTTTAGCCTGTAGAACATCCGAGGGGACGATACGCGAAAAATACGGGTATACATTTTTGTCACTTAGGACAGGACTCGTGGAAATATAACTTAACATGGGCACCTTAAAAATGGACAGCATGTCGGCCATTTGGACCGAATTTCTACTGCTCTCCGATCCAATAACCCCGGCGACACGATAAGCCGCTAGATCTTCTGTGCTGTACGTTTCGTTGTCTATTGTCTGTATAAAATGCAAGCTTCTAACTAGAGCAGTCGTGTCTTTAGAACAATCGTCCAGTAGCTTAAAACCAAGCGTGTGATTTGGAAGGATGGACGAATTCGAGTTGATTTCATCGATAGCGAACACCATTGCTTCCACTCTCTGAAGAGTTCCCAATTCTCTAATACGGGAACTGCAGATCAAATCCGCGTCGTATTTGTGAACCGGAACAACTATACCAAGGGTCAGATTACCGTGTCGTTCATAAACAGGCGGTAGACCAGGTAGATACCGGATGTGGGCCTTCACCACCTTCACCACCTCCACCACCAGGATCATCAAATACAAGAAGTGGAGACAGTTAGCCATATTGGTGACACTACTTCTTTGGGTTTATCATTGTCTCCAGCTGAAAATGAAAAATGAAAATGAATAATATCCTACATTTGTTTGATAAAGTTTGGAATAAAAGTAACAAGTACCGTTTATTTATTCAAAAAGGTGGCGGAGTTGTGTTGTGGGGGTGGGGGTTACGTCCAATTTTGGACTAACATAATTGTGACACAATTTTAGGGGTCTTTAGCTGGGGCAGGGGGCAGGTCCATTTTTAAGGTTTTGCATCTTTGAAATTTTGACCCTCTAAATGACCATTCTGAGCTATTTTGAGAGAGAAGATCTCGCGAGAGAACCTACCAATCATGCCCCCACAGTTTGAAGATTTTAGCTTCACAGATGGTGGGGGAGGGGGTGTAAACATGTGTTAAACCATTCGCACCCCACCCCTTAATTTAGAATGCTCTGTAGCTAATCTCCAACCTTGTGGGTTTTCTCCGTATCCCCCGGTTTCCTCCCACTGCTAAATACCCCTACGCGCATGCGAATTATTGAAATAGAATTTAACCCTATGTTAATATCCCGAAATGACCCAGTATATGTCGTGTGGACGTTAAACCCCATTTCCCTCTCTCTTTGTTACGCCACTAACAATGCACCATTATGAAATTACCGTAAACTAAAACCCCGACCCTAACCCGGTGTGTACTTCCTCGGACAGATTCAAACCCACTGGCAAGTGCCTTTGACTTGCTCTCTCTCCCTCTCTCTCTCTCTCTCTTAAGTTTGTAATATCATCCAAACGCCGCATATGAGGTGGTGTAGTTTCGACCATACACGTGCACGATACAATATGTAAGGACACCTGCCTAACCTCGTGGGTTTTCTACGTGTAATTGACTATATTACAGGTATATATTTAAAGGGACAATAACACTCTTGCTGACTTGACAGCTCCAGAAAATAGAAAATAGCCTTATTCTAAGTACTAGATGTGTTAGTGTCCTACCTGTTGTGTAAATTATCCATTAAATCCTATTTTACTTGTCCAGAGGGTTCAAAAATATTTTTAAATCCAAGTCACATTTGAAAAGCTTTACGTCAGGCTTTTCAAATCATTTAGTTGAATTTTTCCAATGTTTTGAATTAGGTGTGTTAAGATGAAATTTGTATCATCAATTAATTGGAATATTGTAAAATAGTACAATTTGTTGACCAGAATAAAGATTGGGACATATTATTCAGTTACAACAAGAGTGGTATTGAGCCTTTAATATAAATATAATTACTTACCTTTTATTGTTTAGGTTCATCTATAAATCTGTTTAACCTGAAGAACAAAAATTAAATAGGGTTTAATGTTCTATTGTTCAGCTCATATACTGCGCTATTGAAGACGGGCATACCAGTTCAATGTGCTATGAAGAAATTTTACCCGGACATCGGCGCTACGGTCTAATCTTATATCGAATTCCAACTGTCAAGTGGGAACCCCCCGGAAAATCCTGATGAACTGTCTTGGCCAACACCGGGATCGAACACGAAACCTCCAGATTAGCAAGAAACGCCTTACGCAATGAACTTATTAAAGAGGTAAGTCGACATGAAGGAAGAAAATGAATACATTTATTCAGTTGGAAATTTAATACCTGGATAAGGAAAACGATTAAATCTCAAACAAAGCAAGACGTTCAACAGACGCCATGTTGTCTCGCCGTTACAGGTGTAATTAAATATCAGTATTATAAATATAAAGTTTATGTCAACCAGGAACAAAAATATAAAACAGGGACATAAACTAGACATGGCAAGGTTTGGGGGCGTTTGGAAAAGTGGACAATGAAATATTTATGAAACATTTTCTTTTTATTTCGCTGGAACAATAATAGTTTATCCTATCATCTTGTAAGATGTGGGGAAAATATATTCTACAAAATATATTAATCTGTGGTGTTTTTCACCACAAGAGTTCCACAAGATATTGAACTTAGAAAAAAAAATCATTTTTTTTTCCAAAAATTTCTTCTCAGACCTCCCTATATGACTGTGTGGTACCACATTCCACAAGATTTTCGACTTGGAATAATTTTGATAGTGTTTTGGGTCTGTGGTGTTTTTCACCACAAGAGTTCCATAAGATATTGGACTTAGAAAAAATGTCAATTTTTTCAAAATTTCTTCTCATACCTCCCTATGTGCCTGTGTGGTACCACATTCCACAAGATTTTCGACTTAGAATAATTTTGATAGAGTGTTTTGGGTCTGTGGTGTTTTTCACCACAAGAGTTCCACAAGATATTGGACTTAGAAAAAAAATCAATTTGTATTTATTTTCAGAAACCCAGTATCTTGTGGAACTCTTGTGGTGAAAAGTTCCACACAAATGCCCCCAAATCTTGCCATAGATGACATAAACACATAACTACACTGGTGCGTAAACAGTGCATACTGGAGGCTACACCAGACATAGGTCCACTGCTTTAGGCTAGGTTATGATCGGATTATTCCTATTGAGTCCACGATCTGGGCCCTGTTTCTCGAAATCTTAACTAAAGATAAAATCCAAATTTGAGTAGATACTTCAATTTTGATTGGCTAAGCACTAAAATCAATTTAATATTATCCAATCAAATTACTAAAATTTGGATTTTATCTTAGTTAAAATTTCGTGAAACAGGCCCCTGGTGCATACACAGTGCATATTAAAGGCTAAACAAACCATAAAGCCACTCCTTAGAGCCACTCGTGCGATGCGTTACGATCGGATTGAGTCCACGATCTGGTGCGTACACAGTGCATATTAAAGGCTACACCAGCCATATGTCCACTCCTTTATGCTAGGTTTCCACTGTCGTGCGATGCGTTACGATCGGATTGTCTCTATCTAGTCCACGATTTGGTGCGTCCAGATACGTTCTACACAAGAGCGTACACTGTGCATACTAAAGACTACACCAACCGTAGGCCCACTCCTTAATGCTTGGTTCCCACTGTCGTGCGATGCGTTACGAAAAGGTTGTCCTTACTGAGTCCACAACCTGGCACTTACAGATACGTTCGGATACGTTTCGATCCGATCAACACGATTGCTACGGCTGACCTCAATATATGACAAGACCTGATAGGATCAACACGAATTACTCCACGTTTAAAACCACGATTTCAATCGTAGCGCGAATCGTGATAGTTGCAACCTAGCATCAGACCAACCCTTCTCTCGAATCCAGCGACTGAACACGCCCAGAAGCTCGTCTCTCAAACAGTAATCTGATATGATGATCATCATCATGTATAGAGAGTCTCATATACCATATGTTGAGTATATGATATGTAACTATTCTGTTTTAGAAGGGGTGATTAATGCTACTAATTGTTATCCAGCCTCTAATTAAACATCCAGGTGATAACACATCTAATGTTACCATATAGCCGTAAAAGATATACGATAACAGGTACGCCAACACAAGTTGATATATATATATACACCCACACAAGGAATCATTCTTAGGACGATGGCCCCGTGTACAGATGGGCATGCATGTAAACGAGCCCATGGAAGGCTTTGATAAGAAAGTACGGCGTAGCGCCCCTGTCAGCATAAAATTTCCCTCATAGTACACTGTATGGTGAATACCCGCTTTCTATAGCCCAGTCGGTGTAGAACAGAAAGGGCGTTAAACCCCCATTTCATTTCACAGAACAGTGATCCCGCCGTGTACAGATGGGTGTGCACGTAAACGAGCCCTTGTCAGACTTTGATATAAGAGTACGGCGTAGCGCCCCTGTCATCGTAAAATTTCCTTCATATTACACTGTCTGGCATGTACCCGTCTTCATTAGCCCAGTATAGGAGCAGAACCGAGGGGGCCTTAACCCCCCCCCCCCCCATTTCATTTCATTTGGTTGGTACAAGGAAATCACACAATCGGATTAAAATACAGATCTATATTTCGTTTGGTTTTTTTTTTACTTTCGATGGCCTACATCACATGATGATCTGATCGGTTGTAGTGGAAGGTCGTGTCATACCGGCGACTTTTGACCATACGACGTCAAACATTGATTAATCAACCAGCGTTAACGTTTCTAGTGGTGTCAGACGGTTGATAAACCAATCAAACTTGGTATTTCTACTGGGATATTCACAGTTCCCTCCACCGAACGCCAAGAACTCGCCGTAACAGACCGTTTCATTGGCTAATCCCTTACATCAACGAGAATGCGGCTCATACAACAACTCTTCCAGATCCTAGTGTAGTAAAGACAAGTCAAACAAAATTTTGAACTATAAAAGACGAAACGAAATAGGATCTGTGTTTTAATTAGATTGATTTACATAATGGATCGACTGTAACTAATTAGTTCTACCTGTAAAGAAAGTTGACTCTTAGTAATGGTGTCAAATAGGAAAACAAAATGAAAATGAAATGAAATGGGGTTTAACGTCCTACTGTTCTGCTCAGACTGGGCTAATGAAGACGGGCATACGCCATACAGTGTGCTATGAGGGAAATTTTGCTACGGCGACACAGAATGGTCTCAGATCGTTTCAAGATCGCCATAAGCGTGCTAAAGGCGTGGTGGAAACGCCAGATAGCGTGCTGTGGTCTCTATGTTCAAAACAAACGCCACGGTTCTGCGATCTGACATGAAAAGTTTGTAATTTTTGGGGACATTTTCTCGCGTTGTGTTCACGTTTGCCGGCGTAGTGCAGTAAGGACGCCACCCCGGTCTGACGGGGAGATAACGGATATATTTTAAAATACACCTCCATTTTAATTATTACAGCAAAGTGGGTGTAATTTGTTTTGCTGAAAACACTGTTGTAGAACATTATGGGGTTGGATATTTATTTCAAGTCAAGTAAGGACGCCACCCCGGTCTGACGGGGAGATAACGGATATATTTTAAAATACACCTCCATTTTAATTATTACAGCAAAGTGGGTGTAATTTGTTTTGCTGAAAACACTGTTGTAGAACATTATGGGGTTGGATATTTATTTCAAGTCAACTTGAAATAAATATCCAACCCTAAGTTCAAAAAACTTGAAATTGATAATAGGGCTCTGTGATAATTAGTACATGTATTGGGCGTTTAAAAGCCTGACTCAGATTGCATATACTTCGCTTCATTTCCAATCAGACGGATTCAAATTCAGCTGCTGCTATGGGCAATTAGACAATCAGTATGAATTTACAATAAATATAAATCATGCGGAAAAATCAATACATATATCCTTACAATTTAGTTGAATAATGTGTTTTATTCATTTATGCACGTAATCTGAATTAAGAATAATTAATTAAGATATAGTACTTGGTAATATTTTGGAACATTTACACGTCTTTAAGTTTACACAAGCTAACATAATGTATTAAAATTACTATACATGATAATATTCTGGAAGACATATATTTGGCTCTCTTAGTTGGCTACCCCTGTTAAAGTGTTACAATTTAAAAACGCTAGCTGTGGTTAAAATTTACTCTTAATTAACACTGCGTGTAGTTTTTAATTACTCCCATTTTTAACTGCGTAACACCACCGCGAGAGAGGGAGAGAGAGAGAGAGGGAGAGAGAGAGAGTGTGTGTGTGTATTTAAAGTTCACCCGTGTAGGAATAACCAGTCTCCATTATATCATATTAGGCTCCGAGTTCACAAAGCATTCTCAGACTTAAGTTAAGGATTTAATTAAAATTATCCCCGTCACTTTAACTAAAATTTACACCAATAATAAACTATGCGCATAGTTTTGTATTTCTGGATCAAAGATATTTCCCATAAACACAGTGATTGAAAGTTGGGTGAACGGTACAATGTTGACACGTAAAAAAACAGCATTTTCCAATAAAACATTTATCATTTGACACAATACATTTGACGTTTTACAGTTATTTTTTGCCTTAGAGGTATTTTGACTTTATCATTACCGGTATTAGGACTTTGTGCATTGTACTTTCAACATAATATTCAATGGACAATATATTTTAGCAGAGCATTTAATCTTGGTAGCGACACCCTTACATAGGCCATGGGGTTTAACATCCACTCGGAACAAATCATTAAATATTATAGAAGCGTAGAACAGTTCCATTAATTTAAATGTCGATTAATTTCTTTTAAAAAAACCTACAAAACAAACAAACCCGAAGAACAGGGGGCTTCGTCATTTAGTAGACGAAATGAGGTGTTTAACGTCCACTCGCCACAAACTAGATCATTTCGGGACTAGAATATACATTGGCGTGCATGTAAAATATCCCTTGGCAGTTTGAATTCTATATGAGTAGGCCATAGTACCGCTTCCTGGGCAAAATTGCCTTAAT